AAGTCCATGTCCCAACTAAGTGACAACCATTTGTCCACCCACATGTTCGCAAGTTGTTGATTCCCAATCCTGCAGTGTAGTTCATCCTCTAAGAACTTAGCCATGAGTAGCTAAAGTAGGAGTGTACTGGGAATGTTCATCAACTATATGGTTGTTTTTGGAAAGCATTGTAATAAGCCCGTAAATGAGCAGCCCAGAAGGTCCAACAGAAAGCCCATGCCAAACCCAAAATATCTACACTAAATAAAATAAGAGAAGCAGAAAAAGAAAAATGCAAAAGGGCAGTCAGCACCTTCAAACGTGCCACCACCAAAACCGGTCAATCATCTTCAGTTTTTATTCTCCATCATCTCATTCATTATCTTGTAGTTGTTAGCTTTCATTTTTTAATCTTATCTCCATTCGGAAAAATAGAGAAGATAGTTAATTTCAATATGTATTTAATGACTCATGCTTGGTGAATAAAACTAAGAGTGCATGAAAACAATATCCTTATTTTTCACTTTTGAGCTATCAAATTTGATAGAATGTTATTTATTTAATCAGAACTATTTTTTACTTTTTGTTGCAATGCATGAGATAAAGATGAGATAAGAAAGAAAAAAAAAAAAAAAGAGTTCGTAAAACAAGTCATCAGATCATAGATAAGCCTCAGACAAGGCTTGCATCTAGCATACAGCAATAGGATCTGTTCCCAGACAGCAAACCTCGGGCAAGCCTAAGGCAGCATATAAGTTCATAGACTTGCCCAAGGCTTGTGTCGCGCACAACCGCCAACTTGAAGAAAAATGCGTGTTTTTTAAATTTGAAAAAGATATCATTCCAGCTAAGATCTAAGAATCGAAAATTAGGGAAAGATTATTTTGGAAAGCTAAAGATAAACTAAAATCATTAAGAAAGATCCCAATCAAAGAAAGAAGAAACCGTAGCTTCCTTGGGTTATAAAAATCAGGGGCTGCCAAGCAAAATAACATTTATTTTCCTCCCGACACCACTCACAATAGCATATACAACTTTCGCATTTTTTCTTCATCTTTCTTCTCATTAATCTTCAAGAAACTCGTTTTATATTAAAAGTCCACATTGAGTGGCTAATTTGCTTTCTTTTAAAGTTTATATATTTAGTAAATTCCAGATGTACTGTGAGATCAAATTGAGTTAGCCTAAGCTTTATTTCAACTCTGGTACTTATTTGCTTTCTGCACATATACATATTTGTTGTCTTTGAATCACTTTGAACAGGACCTGTTGGACACGCAGAGAAGCAACAAGCAGCTAGCCACACTACTCAAATCCATAATTGTTTGAGCTGTTTTGGCACCTAGTGGTGATCATTACTGCACTGATGAGGTAAGTAATCTAGTTGAGCGGTTCACACAGATGAATTTGGCAATCTGAATCAGGTTCTACTAACTCTAAAGGTCGTTAGCAGACTAAATCATGCGGACGTTTCCAGGACTATTTGTTTAGCGAAGAGCTAGCTTCCAAATATTTCTTGGTTGGTTAGGAGTAAAGAATGATTGGTTGTCAGAATGTTTCCGACAAGTATAACTAGTTTGTTGTATTCTAAATAAAACTAATCTTTGCATCTATGATCAACTACATAATTGAAGCCTAGCTAGCTTGTTAATTAGAAATCTTTCTTATAATTGATCTATTTCCTAATTTGTAGATAGAAGTTTTATTTGTTATTCCGTTCTATTCTTAATTTATATTTCGCATTTTATGATTAATATTGAATCCTACAAAAACTCCGTTGTTGCTTTTCATTTGTTGGTTAAGGAAGAAATTCAGTCTCTAATTCCTTGTGGATTCGACCTTACTTACCATTACTACAGTTTTGCTTTGTTGGATAATTAGGATTTTATTTTGGTGGATTCGATAGCCATTAAATTTTGGCGCCACTGTCGGAGAATTGATATTAATTGATTATTTTCCTTTTTATGATCAGAACTGATCGTGAAGAACCACTTCTTTATGATCTTAAGATTAAAGAAGAAATCGATATGATTAATGTCAGACTCTACATGTATGCTCACTTCCAAAATACTAAAATTGAGAAACAAGTTCAAGAAATGTTGAAAATGAAATCATTGAACCAAGTGTAATCCCTTCTCATATGTGGTACTGTTGGTTAAGAAAAAAGATGGTACCTAACACTTTTATACAGATTACATACTTGACGAACTACATGGAGCTACCTATTTCACTAAGTTGGATTTAACCTCCGAATATCACCAGCTTAGAGTTCATCCGTCAAATACACAC